GAATTATATGAATATAAAAGGTATAAAATGGGAATTCAAAGTGAATGAAAGTATGATTTCAATGTGGTAAAAGTGAGTTTCAAAGTGGAATCTCTCGGTGAGATGTAAGTGTGTTTGAGAATGAACAGAGGAAGCTCAGTATGGGGGTTATCCTAACACTCTAATGAACTTTCGTTCTCACATAGAGAGGATTGATTCATGTGGTGAGAGTAGTAGGAGGTCCTAGTGTAAACGCTACTTGGAGATCTATTGCGCGGAATTGACTAACCTTGTGTGTGTGGTAGGGTGAAACCCATGGCAATGACTTTGTAAAGTAGTAGAGGCCACCATAAGTGCAAAACCAGCCATAGCTCGGTATTCATTCTCAGTCCGGACGGTCTGTTATAGGTCTTAACATATTAGAATGTCTGAACTAATTTATCTTGCCTGAGTTAGCATGTGCATAATCTATGTTCTGTAATTATATGAATGTTTTTATATCTAGCTTACCCTTCTATTTTTTGTATGTGTGGTGTTTCTCCTTTGCTATAATAATCCTGTAGGTGTGAGCAGAGGAGATGAAATCTCCGTCGAGCAGGCACTTGATGAAGAGAATCCAGTCGTTTAGTTCGTTGTGGTGTAGTATTGTAGATAGTTTTGAAATAGATCGGTTGTATATAAAGTTTTAAATTCTATAGTTATTCTGGATAACTGTATGGATAAAACTTTATATTTTAGTCGGATAATTGTACTATCTTATCATGCATGTGATGACTCTAGATTATATAGTTTATACTATATACTTTTGGGATGTTACACACATATATATGTGTGTGTCTTTAATCCCTTAACTTTGATATAAAATTGAAATTATTCCTTGTTGAAAACTTTGATACATTTTGGTTCTCAAGCTTTAAAATTAAACTAATATAATTTTTTTCATCTAATTATGTTTAATTCTTTTTACCTGTCAAACAAGTTTCATTTAACATTTGAGTTATTATATTGTTTAACACATTCCTGTTTTCATATTTACTAATGAAACATGTTTGACACATAAAGAAATTTAAGATAATTGGATTAAAAAGATTATATTCATTCATTTTTAAAATTCAAAGACAAAATTGTATGAAAGTTCCAAACATAGATGAACTCCAATCTCGCATCAAAATTAAAAACTAAAACATAAATAATATATAAGCATAATACTATAATGTACCTCTTAAGTCAGGACATTATAGGTTTTACAGTGTATACTTAGATAAGGTTTAGGAAAATTTAGTTTGAATTATGGGTGGTGTCATGTTTTTTTGGTTGATTATCGAAAACTAAGAAAAGAGTGTGAGAGGTCTTTTTTTGGATAAACCTTGCCTAGGTAATGGAGTGGTATTTGGGTGAGAGTTTTTCGTGATTCTTGACAAGCCTTAGATAATGGTGAGTTAAAAAATGGAAGCTTATAAAAAATACAAAGATTATGCAAGAAATAGAATGAAAACACACAATTTATATTAACATAAGGATACAATTGGAATTGAAACGAGGAAAGGTAAAATGGTGAGTACCTTACCAAAGATAAGCAACCCTTACTCTTGATTAGTCTCTTGACATAATATTTGTTAGCTCTAAGATGGCAAGACTTGATACACTCTTTGGTAGCACCAAAAAGACAAGAGAAGAAACTAATTAAGAAAATTTAACTATGCAAGCACCATTTTCACTAAAAGAAACACAATAATTTTTTTGTAGCTCTTAAAATTAATTTATATTGAAAGAGTGAGTTTTGCAAGGTCATATGACTTTTAGGTCTTGACCACAGTAAAAATAGTAATATAACCACAATAATGTGCTTTACTGATTATAATTTATAAATAGGGTAGTTCATGTAATTAGGTATTAGCTACCACTTATTGCCATAACTTTAGAATTATGTGTAAAAGAAAAAAAATACCAATGTGCTCTTATATTCCGAACAATAAATTGACTAGCGAATATGTAATAAAATATATACTTAATTGAAATGCAATTTTAAGCACAAACATCGTGATAGGTGACCAAAACTCCACTAACTATCATCATAATCAATGGATTCATCATTATATTATTATATTATTATTCTTATATTAAAAAATGTATGATTCATTGCAAAAGTCTGCAAATGGCATCGAGACAGAGACTTTACCTTTCCCTCCCCTGCACATGCACCTTTTGTTCGTCTCATCTACCTTGTATTTCTTTTTTTATTAACAAAAATAAATATGATCAAGTAAAATAATTGACTTGTCTAATCTATATAAAAAATTTTATAAACAAAATGAAAAATTCTATTAATACATGGTCTGTGAAATTTAAGCAACAAAAAAATTGAATTGGGAAAAAACACAAATCCCATAAAAAGAAGTTTTCGTTCTCACTTCTGCCATCTATGGCATTGGAGTTTCCTTCTCTCTTTTGACTATTTTTTATTTTCTACCGTAACTCTCACAGTTGTGGGCTTGCGGCCTCTTCAATTGGGTACCAAACAATGCGATTCAATAATACCTTATTCTTACTTAATATTTGATTATTCATATGAAAATGATATTTCATTGTACTTGAAAAATTCTTATAGTCCAGAAATTCGTTAGAAAAGAACTTTGGGTTGTTCTGAAATAAGCTAAAAGAATGAATGAATAATGATTCCTTAACAAATGTCTAACTCCAGTAAATTTTGGATAAAATAAGATGTCTTTCAAATTTGATGAGAACTAGTCTTAGTCCATACGGGACACCTTCTTAATCCTATGCAATTATAAAATGTTATAAATTTTATTCCTTACCCTATATCATTTTGACCTGACAAAGGACCAAATTACTACAGTTTACAAAGTACAAGAATCAAAACCACCACCAGTTTTAAAATATAAAGACCAGAATCATCCTTTACTTATGCTTTAAAGTTTTACCCCTAAATTTTTGTTCATATACTATAACTAATAAATAATATATATATTGAGCATATAAAGTAAAAAAAACAAGGGGATTACCAATAATCTAAAGTTTCATATACTTTAAAATATAAGTTAAAAAAATAGAAAAGAGCAAGTGGAGGATTTTCTGCATAAATACTAGACAATCCTCACATCTCAAGGCATTTTTTACATAGGAAGATAAACCGTCACATTACATAAAACTTTTATTCAATGCATACTAAAACACGCAATGATTTGAGGGTTTGAACAGAGTATTAGTTTGGCAGACAAGTATTGTTCAGAAAAGTTGTTGATCACCCTGACCATCCTCTCTGAGGACCCACAGAGCTATGCACATTCAACCTGTCAAGTACCGAATTGAAATCAATGGCCTGTCCACTCTCCTCCATCCTCTGGATCACACTGACAACATGGTCTCCCCTGAATCCCATGCTCACCAATTTCTCAATCAACTCATTGTAGGGATGGTTGCGGACAAACTGCGACTGGTTGGGATTTCGAACCATAAGATTATGGCTTGGGGGGTTCTGAAGGGAACCACTTGTTGGAGGATATCCAGGTTGAGTAAAATGAGGTTGTGGTGGATGATGTGTTCTTCCTCCCTCACCCTCATACATCATGTATGCACTACCAGGAGGAGGAAGGGCCGGGAGAGAACCAGTAGGTCCATACATTTCACTTGGTGGTGCAGGAAAAGAACCCTTCATCTGCTGGGGTGGAGGCTGTTGTTGAACTGTTCTTCCAGCTCCTCCATATCCATATGGTATTGTGTCAGCTCGGCTAGATCCTGGCGGTGGAACTCCTGAATACGGCACTTGCATGGGCATGCTGTTTGGAAGTGTTTCTGCAGGTGATGGGTTTGTTGCTTGGTTCGGCTGGTATGGAGGGTACATAGCTGGAGAGGGGGGTCTTGTTTGAGATTGCATTGAGGGTGGCTGAGGTGATGGCACCTGCTGTGACCACTGTTGTTGCTGCTGGAGCTGCTGCTGTTGTTGTTGAGGTTGTGGCTGTTGCTGTTGATAGTGAGAAAATTGTTGCACGGGTGGGGTGGGTGTTACTTGAGATGGTGTTGGTTGTGGGGCCACAAGTTGGGGAGTTCGATATTGTTGATCAGAAGGCAAATACTGGTTCTGGGGCACAGGTGTATTCTGCAGAGGGGTGGGAGGCATGTAATAAGGAGGTTGCTGAGGGGCTTGAGTCACATTTGATGCAGGTGCCTGAGCCTGAGCAGGAGGCGCTGCAGGCTGCTGCTGAGGGGAAATTTGATGAGGTAGAGCAAGAGCCAACTGCTGGTTGTTTGCATCAGATGCATTGTCAGTTTTTTTAGGATCTGTGGTTGGTGATGATCTCTCCTCGTTGGACTGTGAATGGGTGGAGGAAGATGATTCTTTCTGAGCAAGTTGAAGCTTGGCCAATTCTTTCTGAGTGTCAGCCAGCTCTTGCTTGTCTCTTAAAATTTGTACAGACCTGTGAACCTACAGAAGAAACACAAGAGTGTTTAAGGTTGGGAGTACTGTTCAACTTATTCCAGTAGTAATGAATTCTTAATTTAGCAATACTGCACAGGGTTGGTAATTGTGAACCTTGATGAACAAAGTATATTAAAAATCTGCAAATCGATATAAGACTGGCTGGGTTTGCATATTCAGATAAAGACTAATATTCTAGGTTCACATTACCAAAGAGCAACCCAAAAATCCTGACCCATTATGGTATTTCTAATCCAACTCCTTCGGGGCCAGAGATCTGTCGTAAGACCAACTAAACCATTCGACTTATGCCCCGCACCAGCCCTTATATTCAACACAAAGGATCCCTACCACTTGTAGCACTGAGCAAGCTAGGAACACCAGGGTATCCTGCAACACAATTGGAGATAACTTCGTCTTTTGAAATTACCTCGTGGCTGTGCTTGGATATCCTAGCTAAAGAATCAGAGATTGAGAAAGATGAAGAAAAATAAACTGAAATCATTAAAAAAGGATTTAGATCTCCAAAGAGTTTATTTTCGACAAAAAATACAATGGTGCCTTTTATCCAGGTCCAACTTTGTAAAATGTTTTGACTGTTGATTACACAGGTACTTTTTGCTAGATTACATTTCCACAAGGACAATGAGACTTGTGTTTTGAAATGAGCTAGGAAGTAGGTGCTACTCTGGTGGTAATGTGGTATGCATATCAACCAGGTACAAATGAAACACATGTTACAGTGCATCTATGCACCTGATAAAATATCTAATGATGAGCACACATTATTTTTTATTTTATTTCAAGTTGAGTACACACTATAATTTTTTTGAATATCTAATGGTGAGCAGAGCAAAATGGATTAATATGGAATAGAATGCATTTTCATTCTATTGTTTGGAAAGTGAATGAAACAGAATGAATTACTATGACTATTATTCCCATATTACCCTCATTCAAACAATTAGAGTGTGTTTGTGGTAAGAAGGAAAAGAATAGATGACAAATAAAATAATGAATGTCCATTTTAAGAGAAATAAAGAGATATGAAAAAAGAAAAGGAAAAATATATAAAAATGTCGCTTGTAAATTGATTTTTAATTCACACGACCTACTGTGATTAGTGAAAATCAATTATGCTTTTTAAAACCAACCATTATACATTATTGGCAGTTTAATACCATCAGTAATGTATAAAACAGCTAGTAAATGCAGAATTTGTCGCATTTTGAACAGCAAAAACTACCGTAGGACTGCACAATTTCTCAGTTTCAAACCGCCACAAGGTCCAATTGTCTCCCCACTCACAATTCCATGCAGTATAGCAAGGAAACAAAGGTACACCCTTTTTTTTTGTCTCCTCCCATTTCCACCTAACCAAACCAGGAAAATCCCTTATTTCTCATCTATTTAACCTCTCCATCCTCTCTATTTCGTACTAATTTCATCTTCGCCAAACATGTGCCAAGAAAAATAAAGAGAGAAGCAACTAAAGATTATAACAGCAATTAAATTTCAGTAGAAACTAAATTATTTTAGTAATAAAATAATGCATTTGAACAGAGTTGAGTTAGAATTTGATATATCAAAATATCATTCTGCATAAATGGCCCTAAGAAGTACCAACTTTTCAGTGCAGATAGAGACATGGAGGCAATTACCCTTCACAGCTCCAGTTTTGAATGAAACAAAAATTCTGGTAAAAAGGTTTATTGCCTCTGCCTCGGAAACTAACCACCTACGCATGCTTGTGCACAAGACTAAGGATATCAATAATCACTAACTGTTATTCATATATGTTCCTGTCCTTGGTGCTTTATATCTTGCTTATTCTTGCACTTAAAAATTTACTTGGTTGCGGGTGATGGTAGACTAGGTAGGATTCAAGGTTGTCAAACTCTGGAATGAACTCTGACCTATTATGAGCTCACGTTCCCAGGTAGATAAAGCAAGTTAACTCACTTTCAAACTCTTTCTAAGTAAACTCATACACTCATTAAACTTTTGTAAACTTGTGTAAACTCTCAAGTCAAGAAGCAAGTCAGCAAGTTCAAAATCAACATAAAATTCCCCTCGTTGACTATACTCAACAGTTTTTGTTAGTACTCAAACTATTTGAAGAAATTAAGTTATGTTTTAAATGCTTTCAGTGTAAGAACGTGTGTTTTTATGAAATTCATATATGACTTGGTCATTCATGTAATGTTTAATCTTATTTTAGCACTATTGTACTATCATTCTTTGTTGTTGTGGTTACTAATTTTCTTTACTATGAAATTAAAATACAATCCTAAAAGATATTATCTCATGCAATTCGTCATTAATAAATTTTTTATTATTCTTTTTTTACAGTAAGTAAACCCTTCCAAGTTTGGGAAGGGATTTAGTGACTTTTTCCCAGGAAAAGTCATGGTAACTTTAGTTAACTTTGCTTAATTTTTAACTGGTTTCCTTTGTATTTTTTTTTTTTTTGGAAAATTGAAGTTGGTCATTCAACACATCAAAATTAACTAAAGTTACGATATTTTTTTCAGGTTTATGAGTTAAATCTGTGAGTNTTCTAATCCAACTCCTTCGGGGCCAGAGATCTGTCGTAAGACCAACTAAACCATTCGACTTATGCCCCGCACCAGCCCTTATATTCAACACAAAGGATCCCTACCACTTGTAGCACTGAGCAAGCTAGGAACACCAGGATATCCTGCAACACAATTGGAGATAACTTAGTCTTTTGAAATTACCTCGTGGCTGTGCTTGGATATCCTAGCTAAAGAATCAGAGATTGAGAAAGATGAAGAAAAATAAACTGAAATCATTAAAAAAGGATTTAGATCTCCAAAGAGTTAATTTTCGACAAAAAATACAATGGTGCCTTTTATCCAGGTCCAACTTTGTAAAAAGTTTTGACTGTTGATTACACAGGTACTTTTTGCTAGATTACATTTCCACAAGGACAATGAGAATTGTGTTTTGAAATGAGCTAGGAAGTAGGTGCTAACTCTGGTGGTAATGTGGTATGCATATCAACCAGGTACAAATGAAACACATGTTACAGTGCATCTATGCACCTGATAAAATATCTAATGATGAGCACACATTATTTTTTATTTTATTTCAAGTTGAGTACACACTATAAATTTTTTGAATATCTAATGATGAGCAGAGCAAAATGGATTAATATGGAATAGAATGCATTTTCATTCTATTGTTTGGAAAGTGAATGAAACAGAATGAATTACTATGACTATTATTCCCATATTACCCTCATTCAAACAATTAGAGTGTGTTTGTGGTAAGAAGGAAAAGAATAGATGACAAATAAAATAATGAATGTCCATTTTAAGAGAAATAAAGAGATATGAAAAAAGAAAAGGAAAAATATATAAAAATGTCGCTTGTAAATTGATTTTTAATTCACACGACCTACTGT